GTAACAATTATGTTAGAGTCTTACTACAACATATCAATTCATCTATAGCTTGTGAAAAATGCTATCTATCATGTTTTATAGCATTTTCAAAATGTTACTATATCTGGTATTATTAAAAGTCATACTTCTATTATAACATTTTTGAAAGCTATTATAAAGTGCTATAAAAAAAATTTAAATTAGCATTCTGTTATCGTCATAATTTTAGTATTTATAGCGTTCTTTTCGTATAACCTTTTTTAATTTGATAGCACTTTTTTCAATGTAATTTTAGCTTTAATAACATGGAGTTGCAAGTACAAACTAACTAGTAGCTATTTTGAGAAAATTATATTTTGTATATGGTTAACAGTAAAGTATACCAGGTAAAACAGGAAAAATCAACAAAATTTCACTAAATATTAGATCCTGAAAATCAGAATTAGATTATGAGAGCCTTCTATTTTGAAAACCATAAACCATCAAGATAAGCAACGATTATAAGGAGGTGTCAAACACCTCATTAAGCAATACAAAGGCCGGTAACATAGAAGAAGTTAATTACATAATAGAACTTTCAAAGAGAGAAAAATGATATTTGAAACTCGAACAAGAGAACACTAACCAACTAGCAAATGCCAAATACTGCAACCTTTGAGCATTAACTGGTATTGCATTGGCTATATCATGATGAATTATTGGAAAAAGGAGGGCGATTCTTATCATCCACATGAACACCGAGTCAAGGCGTTGCAAAAGGAATTAGAAGCCTGCAAAGAGGAACAAAATTTACATATGATAACTAGCCTATACAAGAATATGATATAGCTTAATACTGTTAACAACATCTTCTCCATTAAGATCTGAGTTTCCATCTTAAAATGTCAACCCTATTAAAAGGAGTAACAAAAATCTTTTTATGTTGGTCCATATTTCAGTATTTAGCCGATTTAGAGTTTATCCCTTAACATGTCATTGCAAGATGGTGACTTGTTTGAGCAGACTAATCTCTGAAATTGGTGTTAAAATTTATGATTTTATCATAAAAAGTTAACTTTATTAAGAGGAGTAACTTTAATCCTTATATGCTGGCCTATGTTTCGATATTTAATTGATGTGGATTTATCCCCTCAACATTCTCTAAGTTGTTGCATTGGCAAATCGAAGTCATTGAAGGTAATGTTTTCAAGATTGTGGTGTTTTTTGGATGTTGTTCGTTGAACAAAGAAGTAAGGATAACATCATGTAATCCATGCAAAAAGTTAACAAAATATAACATAATGTGTTCCTCATGTAAAACCTACATTAATATATGGTAACATATACGTTACCCAAAAAATGTTTGCTTTCAATAATAATAATAAAAATGAAATATTTAATGTTACTCTATAAATAACACAATAATACACATGTTATCATAACATGTAGTTTTTATAAAATGTTGGTTTTTAATGAAAAATTGAAATATTAATTTTAAATGAAAATGAAGAATATTTAAAAAAATTTAAGTAATTAAACGAAAAATATCGTTTTTTAATGGAAAAATGGTCTTTAAAAATTGTAAAAGGGATACGTATTTCTAAGTTGTTTGGACAAAAGTACAAAATTTGTAAAGCTATCCATATTGGAAATGGCTAAAATACGACTTTGACCATCTTCGAGTCCAATCCAATACAAAAAACATGAGTAAAAACCCACCCCACACCCACTCACCCCTCGTACCTGCCGAGGATTTCCCATTTATAATTTCTTTGTTGTTCTTATTTTTTCATAGAAATTCTATGAGCTGTTTAAATTGTTCTTTCTAATTCATATTTTATTAGATAAAATACAAAAACTGTACTAGTGGGCTAAAGATGGAATGATCAAAAATCCTTTTAATTGCCCATCAAAAATCCACTTAATAGTCCATGTTTGGCACCATCACAAAATTTGATTAAATTACAAGTTAAAGTTAAAAATTAATTTTAACTACATATTTCATAGGACCCACAATTTTTCAACCACACGTTTCATCGATTTTTTATCCAAATCTGCTAATAATTGAATTTTAATCTCTATTAAACAGGGCTTTATGAGAAGTCTTTTTATAGACTCCGTGAGGTGTAGATAAAAAGTTGTAGATCACATACAATATGTAGTTAAAATTAAATATTGACTTTAAATTGAATTTTAATCCACTTTTTAAGTGGAACCAAACATACTTAACTTTCAACACATTTAACGTAGGATTCCTTCCATGCATTAAAAAAATTCAGTTCTCTAGAACTTTTTTTCCATACAAGTTTTATATTTGCAATCAAATACACCTTAATGGTCAAAGTATAAGGCTTTATTTGTGTCACACCCTATCAATCATATTGTCAAATATAGGTATATAAATAATGTAGCTTGTTTTATATTTTTGTATCTTAATTGTTCGACTATTTATTTTTCTAAATAAATATTAAATACTTGTGTTAACATTTAAAATATACACAATTAAGAAATTAAAAGTAACATCGCTCCCAAAATAGAAGTCTTGCCCCAATTAAGTAGGGCATACCCACCTGTTCGAGACGTAGTTTGACTAGGCAAATTGTTATTCCTACATGTAATGAAGATGTTATATGATAACGTGCAATGTTAATGTGATATATTAATAATTGCATTGTTTAAAAAGGAGAGTAAATTTATGTAAGTAAAATTTAAACTATGTCATACGAACCTTGCATAAATTAACATGTTAATTTATATTCTCATATATTACTTTGATCAACTTAAATTGCAATTTATCTTTTCATTTTTTATTCGCAATGGTACTTTAGGTATATCAATAAAATGGTATTTTAGGTGCATATAAGTTTAAATCTAAAAATATGGGAGATTAGTGATATTTTTAAAACGTGAGTGTGTATATAATATTGTCTCAATTGAATAAGTTTACAGAGTTTGGTTTACCCTATTTGATAGAGATTTTTAAAAATATATTTTGTGAAAATAGATTTTTTTTTAAGAATGTGCAGTTAAAATATATTTAAAAAAATTATAGATTTACGTGTATCATTATATTTATCGAGAGAATATGAAGTAAAAATGAGTTTGAAGAAAAATGAGGACGAATATAGACTTGTTTTAAAAGTCCAGTCAGAATTTTGTGTTTACAAGAGATGAGATTTTATGATCAATTGGCTGATGTTGAATGTTGGAGACTTTCTTCAAAAATCCACCTAACTGATTAATTAGTACACAAATATTCTTTTATAATCCCTATTTTGTTACCATTTATGCTTCTATAGCATCAATAGATTATAGTATGTGAGTGAATAGTGAATTAAAGTTGAATAAAAAATACAAACTAACGTTTAATGACCTAATTAAAATTTGACCAAATGGTCAATGTCCACAACATAAAATTTAGGAAAAAGTACTCACAAACTTGGTTTTTATGTTTCCATTTCAATAATTAGGTGTGTACACACACACACACAATGTAGAGAAATGATTTAATGAACATCGATGCTTAGCTTATATTGAGTATTGATAACAAGAAATACAAATTAATTAGTGAATTATTAAATTCATAGAACCCACCATTAATATATCTACCAATCAATTGGTACACCATGTCAAGTTAAGCACCGAAAATATGTTACCATCTACTCTCCCTTCCTCCCTCCCTTCTCTCCATCTACCTATGACATTCTCTCTCTCTCTCTCTCCAAATTCGTTCATCACTACCACCAACTCCGATAACCATCATTACCACCATCTTCCATTTTCATTGGTTCACAACATCATACCCACTATTTCGACAAATATCATTATCCACTTTACTCTCTCTTGCCATAGCTGCAAAGAAAGTTAATAATGGTAGGTTTCACAGCATGGTGGTGGTACGGTAGTGTGATGGTGGGTTGCCAGGTACAAATATGCGTGATGGTTGTGCAGGTGAATGTACAATTTACAACTTTCATTGTGCCATGCTATTCAAATAGCAACTATTATCAAAATCTTACTCAAAAGGTGCTAAGTTGAAATCTCATTCCAGCTAAGGGTTCGATGTTTGGGTACAGATCTGTGTGGTGGTGACGACAATGCGGGTAGATGTAAAGATCTGCATGGTGGTAGTGGTGGTGAGGCGACAATAACATTTGGGGTGATGGAGTGGGGCGAAGATCGACTGTGAGCAATTATATATAATTGCGATCAATAAAATGAGTAATTTGTGATCAAATAATATACGACTTAAAAAATGTGTGATTTACAATTACATTTGTAATTGTGACTCACAATTTGTGGCTTGTGACGGTAATTCTGTGCAATTTGTTATTGTGTCCATAAAGTTTTTGTCGATGTGATCTTAACATGTTCAATTAATTAATAAGTCATAAAAATTTATCAGATAATCATATTTGTCCCCACCATCTCTAGTTGAGTTTTGAAAGAATTCTTCAAATTTCTTAAATTTAATCATACATGTCCCTAAATTTTTTACAATAAAGTCCCTTGTACACACTTCCTTCACATAGAGGAGGGGTTCATATCCAATCAATGTGAGATGGCAACTGGGCGGGCCCCGTTTGGCCAAAACCCCATCACCATTCCACCTTAGACGGGGCAACTTTTTGCCCCGTTTAATTTTTTAATTTTTTGAAAGTTTCGAATAATGTTATTATTAGATAATAAAATACAAATTCAAAACGAGTTTTTAACGGGTGAATTGTTTAGAAATAAAATTAATTAATTTTTTTTTCTTTTTTCCTCACGGGGCTGGGCATCCTCGCCCCTCCCCACCCCCGCGATGGGGTGTCCAGCCTTATCCCACCCCTCCCCGCCAATTCGTTTGGAACGAATTTTTTTGCCCTATTTGGGACGGGGCTCCACCAGGACAGGGTAAATTGCCATCCCTTTTGTGAGAGCCCCGTCTCAATATGAAGGCGTTGTACACCGTGGTTTAAGTGTATATCTAGAGCTTCAAATTTTTTTCCATGGAATGGCTATAATTTCGTTGTGGGCCTTCTTCAAACCCAACTCGTTACAAACTCACACGTAAAACTCCCCGCACCTCCGCATTCCACGGTATAATTTATAAAGCGAGAGGACATTTATCATTTTCAAAGTTTCTCTCTCTAAAACCCCTCTCTCTCTAAAACTACTCTGCTTCAATTTGAAGCTGTCTTTGTAATTCCAATTTTCACCCTTCCCCGTCCGTCTCTATATATACCAACACTCTCTCTATACATAAGCAGGGTTGGTCCGTACTACTGCTTCTTAGGGTTTTAGATAAGTGGTTTTTACTGGGTTTAATACGGTTTGAGCGGTGATCTCTAGATGGCGGCAGAGAAGTTACGGGATTTGAGTCAGCCGATTGACGTTGCCTTGCTTGATGCTACAGTAGCGGCTTTCTATGGCACTGGATCTAAAGAAGAGGTCTAAAACTTTTTTTAGTTTTTTGTTTTCTATACTGTTGGCTATTGATTTACTCGCATTCAATTTTTTGCATATATTCATCTTCTTTCCTGTTTGCGAAGTTGTTAGGAAATGTGGAAGAATTAGAGAAGTTTATTTGTTTTTCTTTTAATTACTGGAGTTTTGGAATGAGAATTAAGTCAATTGCTAGGGTTTAGACTCTGTAGAATAAAGAATTCTGCAAAGATTGGGACTATCTCTTTAAAAAATATCACTTTGTAACTGCTGACTGGTGAGCTGCTGATGAGTAGTCTGTGCAGTTCACCTCAGCATGCACGATATTTGACCATGCTTTATTAAGGTTGGGTTATTTTTGTTTCCTCCGAAACATTTTATGGATATTTGTTCATGGGTAAGAACTTATAGAATTGAAGTTTAGGAGCAATTAAACTCGTAGAAGTGTGAGATTTTGTCGTTCCGCTGTTTTTGGTGTGTGGGTGGCATTCAACTCTGTATTCTTTTAGATCCATACCTTCAGGAAAACTTGAAATGGAATGCAGAAGTTACTTTTACTTAGCTTGCTTTGGAAACCACCTATAGGTGATATAAAATGGAATGTGAAGTAGCTTTTGAAACCCTTTGGTTTTGCTCCGTGCGTGTGGTCTGAGCACACATTTCATAACATATTTATGAAGGTTTGGGGCATTTGAAAACAATCACCACTAGCCTGTTTTGAAATGATGATCAACATAATCTATGAAACCTCTTGTTTTTGTTGCCCTGTGCTGTGTCCATGGGCACAACATTTTATGTTTATGAGAAACCCTCATCGGTGAGAGGAAAATCTCTTACGTAGATAAATGGTGTTCAGCCAGCTGGATGGTTCATTGGTTAACTTGGAAACTTCAGCAGACCTATGTATGTAGCTGGTAAATAAACGAGGCTATAGTAATCTATTAATTGGAGCGGGCTGAGTGCGCATTGCCAATGTCAAAAACATGTGAGTATAGTAAAGTGGTAATTAAATAAAATGCCATCAGCGATCTCCAAAAAGCCTAATATCGATATTGATATTTTCAATAATACAATGTCATGAAATTGTAATGATTTAAGCTCAAGTTAACAACATACCTTTGGGTTCCTTTGAATAGTTATTACAACTTGAAAATGCTTAATCGTGTAACGAAGCGTTTTATCTTTGTGAGGCGGGGTTTAAGCTTTGAGGAGCTTTGAGGCGTAGGCATCAAAAGAAGCCAATAAAATATTTAAAATGATATAAAAATTAAAAATTTTCTCATAGTAAATCATACACCGTCTTAGAAAGTATATAATATGCTAACAAATTTAGCTATCTTTTGTTCACCTTCCATTTCCCTTCCTTGGAAACTTTACACACAAAGAAAATAAAAAACTCATAAAACATTCTAGATTTTAAAGAAATAACCCTAAAAGCTAAGGCCATAACAAAATGTATGGAATTGCAAGTCAAATTAGCTAAACTTTTTAGTTGGGCATTGTCCTCACAATTGTGCGTCAAGGTGTAAGCTTTGAAGCATTAAATGAAAGACTCATGTAAGGTGGTATTTGAGGTGTAAACCTTAAAAAGCTTTTCAAAACAATGATAGTAATCCGATCGTTTGGGTTTCTTTTTTAAAGTTACTGCATTAGATAATCATAATTTAAAGCGTATCATTTTGAGCTCTCCAAAATTTAAAATTAGTCAAGGAACATGTACACAACTGACATTTCAAATAATTCAAATAACATACACAGAGGAGGACAATTATCATATGTTAAGGACAAATTTGGATATGTAATACGACACGAAACGGGTATGTCGATACACTTTTTTGACAAAACTTGGTATACGCGAATAGAAGTGTGTATATTATATATGTTCGTAGTGTTTTTCATAGGTTAAATATAAATTTAGTATAATTTCATTATTATTAAAAAATTAAAACAAAAGCTTGACAATAAAAATAAAATAAAATACTAGAGTATTTTTATCTTAATTGTCTTAATTTCATTTTCTTCAACATCATCTCCACCAGTTTCTTTATTGTCACTAAGTAACACTCTCCAATTTTGGTTCGTCTAATGATAGATTGACAACCTCAAGCAGTCCACACCTTCAAGAGTAGAATGAAAATCAAATTTTTAGCTCAATGTAGAGTTATTTTATTCTTTCTCATAGAATGTAGAAAAGAGTAAGCATTCCTTGTTAATTAATAAATAATATCAAATTTTAATAAGTTATTGATGATAATAATAGTTATCTAGTGAGTAAAAAACTTTCATCAACTGTCAAAAATAATGTGATGAGTTTTAAAAGAGTTTAAAATCAATAAACTCATCTTCTTCACTTGGCATAAAGTGTCTGATAGGTATCGAAAATTTAAAAAATATGCTTACGTATTGGAGAGTGTCCAAACGTATCCAAGCTTGTATACGTATTGAATACGAGTACTTAATAACTTTGCAAGTGTCCATGCTTCTTAAATCATATGTATTGGCTAGGTATAATGTCCAAGTTTTGAATTATGACACTCTCATCAAGTGAGAACATGACAATTTAGACCCTCTCAAATATATCCATAGACAAACAAGGAAAAATTCAAATTTGTAGAGGCGGATCTTGGATCTTGGTTGCAAATTTGAATTTGTTGTGTCAATGATATCGTTGACAGGTCGTGGTTAAATTTGTTTGATTGTAAGTTTTTCTCAGTGGGTCTGGCTGAAGGTATTGATGTAGTTAGTATTTTTAAGTTAACTTCACTGTACTAATTTATAAACTTAAGAGAGAGGGACAACTTAGATGGTTAGAGACCATGATTTTAATGCGTCTACACAAGATCCTATTCGAGAGAGCAATGTAATTTAGGAGGAACCTGTTAGAAAGCCAAAAGTAGCCCAAGACTACAAAAGCCAAAAGGTTTATTTTCCTATATCCTTTGAGGAGAGGAGGCTGTGTCAAATTGAATGATTAAATTGATTTGCATAGTCGATCTCTAATATATTGGGTACAAGTGTTTGCTTGATATTGTTGTTTGTCGAGAAGCCTGATGTGTTGGGGATTGTGACTCGGTTGGAGCCTCCAGCCATCTTCACATGTTTAAAGAATCTGCTTGTATAGTCTTTTTCTCTTTATGAATTATTATCTCTGAAATTCATATATTGTTACTTGAAGATTTGAATAAACTGAAATCTTATTTTTCTTGGCTAAAAAGCCATGTATATATACACAAGTAGATCTCTACAAATAAGGAAGTAACTAATTTACATCCTATCTAAATATACAACCAATCAGTCATACTAATTTACCTCCTATCTAAATATACAATCAATCAATCATAACCAAATCAGATTTAATTATGACTGAATTAAGGAAATAATTGCTAATACAGCTCCTATTTTCAGACACCCCCGTAAACTGAGCTTGGAACTAAGGTCTTTGAATCATTTTCGAGGTAGGGCCTTAGTGAGTATGTCTGCAACTTGGGAGTGAGTTGGTGTGTAGATATGTTTGATGACATTGTCTTCAATCTTCTCTTTAACGAAGTGACGATCAATCTCCACGTGTTTAGTTTTGTCATGAAGAATTATGTTTTTAAATATGCTGATGGCTGATTGATTGTCACAAAAAAGCTTCATAGGTTCTTTGAATGGTACTTTGAGTTCTTCAAGAAGTCTTCTAATCCACATTCCTTCACATATACGTTGAGCCATAGCTCGAACCTCAGATTCAGCGCTACTGCTTGATATCACGGATTGTATCTTGCTCCTCCAGGTGACTAGATTTCCCCACACATAGGTACAATAACTTGATGTAGATTTGTGGTTTGCAACCGAACCTGTCCAATTAGCATCACTGTAAATTTGCACGTCTCGGCTGGAGCGTTTGTTGAAGAATAACCCTTTACCGGGGGTTAACTTCAAGTATCTCAGGATTCGGTTGACCGCTTCCATGTGTTCTTCTCTTGGGTCGTTTATGAACGGACTATGAAAAACTAATATGTGGGCGAGTATGTGAGAGGTAGATGAGTCTGCCTACTAGTCTTTGATATCTTCCCTTATCCACTGGAACACCGATCTTTGCCATTTCGAGCCTTCTACTAGTCTCCATAGGAGTATCCACTGGTTTGCATTCTAGCATTCCACATTCGTTGAGTAAATCCAAGACATACTTTCTTTGTGAATCAGAGATTCTCGTACTTGATTTGGCCACTTCCATTCTAAGGAAATACTTGAGATTTTCTAGATCTTTAATCTCAAATTGGTTAACAAGAGTCTTTTTTAACTCAACCATCTCATCTGTAAAGTCACTTGTAACTATTATATCATCCATGTACACTATTAGGACTGACATTTTACCTTCTAGTGATCTTTTCACGAATAAGGTATGATCAGCTTGGCACTGAGAATAGCCATGAAGTTTTATCACCTTTGTAAATCTGTCGAACTATGCCCTCGGTGATTGTTTAAGTCCATAGAGGGATCTTTTTAGTTTGCAGACTTTGTTTTGTGTGGCTTGATTTTCAAAGCCCGGGGAAATCTTCATATAACCTTCTTCTACCAGGTCTTCGTTTAAGAATGCATTCTTCACTTCTAACTGAAATAAGGGCCAGTCTAGGTTAGCAGCTAGCTACAGTAGAATTCTTTTAGTGTTGAGCTTGGCAACATGAGCAAATGTCTCTTGGTAATCAATACCGTAAGATAGAGTAAATCCTTTTGCCATGAGTTGAACTTTGTATCTGTCAATACTCCCATCCTCTTTGTATTTCACAGTGAAAATCCTTTTGCTTCCCACTGGATACTTCTGTGGAGGCAGATCAGTGACTTCCCATGTTTGATTCTTTCCAGCGCTTGAATTTCATCAAAAATAGCTGCCTTCCACAATGTTAGGGTTTGAATTTTAGAATCAGTGTAGTGTTTGAGGTTCTCCTTGATGTTGAGCCCTTTCTCTCCAAGAGTAGACATGTAGCTCTTTGTTTGTAGGTAAATCTAACGACTGAGGATTAGGTGAGAATATAGGAGGAGTGGGATTGACACTTTGGACTTCGACTTCGAGTGTGTTATTGACAAAACTAGGGACCGAGTGGATTGGTGAGGACTCAATATCCCAAGACAAACATTTCTTCTCATATTCACTCTCCCTTTGAATGGTGGTATTGGGATAATAAGGTTGATTCTCAAAGAATGAAACATCCATGGAGTGATAGTATCGTTTGGTGATTGGAGAATAACACTTGTATCCCTTTTGATGTGGAGAATATCCTAAAAAGATGCATTTGATAGCTCGAGGATCAAGTTTTCCATGATTGTGATGGTGAACATGAACAAATGAGGTGTAACCGAACACTTTGAGGGGTATTGTGGACAAAATTCGAAAGGAAGGAAAATATTTTAGGAGAATTTGGAATGGAGTTTGAAATTTGAGAACACGAGATGGCATCCGATTTATCAAGAATGTGGCAGCGAGTATGGCATCCCCCCAGAAGTGTTTTGGAACATTGGGCGAAAACATTGGGATTGGGCAACTTCAAGGAGGTGTCTATTTTTTCGCTTGGCAATACCATTTTGTTGTGGAGTATCGACACATGAACTTTGATGAATAATCCCTTGACTCAATAGGTAGTCTCCCAAAACATGTTTGAAATACTCCTTAGCATTGTCAGTTCTGAGAATTTGGATTTTTGTTTAAAATTGGTTTTGAATCATGATATTGAAGTTCTTAAAAATTAAGCTAACTTCTGATTTTTCTTTTAGGAGAAATACCCAAGTCAATCGAGTATGATCATCAATAAAAGATACAAACAATCGAAATCCAGAAATGTGTTTGACACGAGACGGTCTCCATACATCACTATGAAACATTAAAAATGGACGAGAGGGTTTATATGATTGTCTTGGAAAAGAACTCCGAGTGTGTTTTGAGAATTAACAAATTTCACATTGGAATGAACTTGGACTTTTATTCTTAAACAATAATGGGAATAACTTTTCAAGATACATGAAATTGGGACCACCTAATCAGAAATGCCATAGTACGGCTTCATTATTTAGACTGGGAATGGAAACATTGAACAATGAACTCTGAAAACTTGGACTACCTACTTGTAGAGCTTGTCCACTTGGAGAGTTGTTTCTTGTGATCAAATACAACCCCGAACACTCCCTAGCACTATCAATTGTCCTCCCAGTTTTCATAGCCTGAAATTCACATAGATTGTTGAAAAATTTAATGACACACTTATAATCACGTGTAACTTTACTGATAGATAATAAGTTGCAATCCAATTTTGAAACAAATAACACAAATTGAAGTATCAAATCTTTGGATAACTTCACTGTTCCGATTCTGGCCACTTGTGAATGTGTTCCATCAGCAATTCGAACTTGCCATTACTCCTTGCATGGATTGAGATCAATAAATAGGTGTGGATTGCCAGTCATATGGTCAGAGGCCTCGGAGTCAACTATCCACACATTTGGATTCTTCTGTTTAGCATTTAGGGCATGTGTACCTTTGTAGACCATAGATCCAGTGGCTATTAGGGATGAATGCAGGTTGTTTTGTTGCTATGCAAAGAGCTGTTGAAGCAATTCCAGTTGCTCCTTACTGAAGAGGGAGGCTCTGGTTGTATCTAGTTTTCCATCGGAGACGGCTGAGTTTCCCATGCTTTGCCTTTGATTTCCTGTCCTTGCGTCATCAGGCCTGCGATGTAAGTCCCAACACTTGTCTTTTGTGTGGCCGATTTTGTGGCAGTGGTCACATTTAGGTCTCTCCTTTGAAGGCTAAAGTTTCATAGTTGTGGAGTGCATTTTGCTTCCCCATCATGACCTTTTCCCGGCTATCTTCGCTTCTTACTTCAACGAAGGCTTCTCAGAGACTTGGCATTGGTTTCATGGAAAGGATTCTTCCACGTACATTATCCAAGTTTTTGTTGAGTCCTATCAAGAACATGTATAAACGTTTCTGCTCAGCAAGTTTCTTGTGGTAGGATGCATCATCCGGACACTTCCACTTGTGTTCTTCAAACAGATCTAGTTGCTGCCAATGGCGATTGAGGATGCTGAAATATTGGGTGACAGTGAGGTCTTTTTGTCGTTGATCATGGAGGAGGCAGTCAATGTTGAATAACTCCGAAGTGTTTTCCACCTGTGAGTACGCCTCCTTCGCTGCTTCCCAAGTTTTTGCAGCGGTTTCGTATAGGAGAAAATTTTCACCTATTTCATTGGTCATGGAGTTAAGAAGCCATGACATGACTTGATTATTTTCGGTCTTCCATGCTCGGTAAGTGGGTTCTTCCTTCTTTGGTTGGGCTGCTTCTCCGGTGAGATACTCATCTCTTCCTTTGCCGGATATAAATATTAGAACAAAGTGGGACCATTGTAAATAATTCTGGCCATTTAATTTGTGGCCTGTGATGGAAAATGATGGCCCATCGGTGGCTCTTGGAAAGCTGACAGAACTCGGGATGGTTTCCGAAGATGAGGTCTTCTTGGCAGCCATGACAGGACTTTTTCTTTAGGTTTTCAGAGTCGGCTCTGAAACCATGAGGATTTGAATAAAATGAAATCTTATTTCTCTTTGCTGAAAAGCCATGTATATATACACAAGTAGATCTCTACAAATAAGGAAATAACTAACTTACATCCTATCTAAATATAGAACCAATCAATCATACTAATTTATCTCCTATCTAAATATACAATCAATCAATCAATCATAATCAAATCAGATTTAATTATGACTGAAATAAGAAAATAATTGTTAATATACCTCCTATTTCCACATTATTAAGTAGCTAGTCTTGTCAGTGGTGCAGATGAGCTTCTTGTGACTAACGATTGTGGTTACTTGAACTTATCATTTTGAACTTTTTATGATATTCTCTGATCCTTAATAACATGGCCATTTATTTAGTTTAGAAAATGGAGTTGCTTTTACCGCACAAAGTAGTGTTGAAGTCTGCTCCTAAGGAGGAGATTATGCCAGAAAGAAGGAGTTCTTTGTTTCTTAGTCCTTATAATTCATGCATTTACTGTTAGATTACATGATTGTTAGCTATCAAGATTATTTTAATATAGGAGCTTACTCTTTTTTGTTTCTTTGGTCTTGCTTTCTACAATGCAGAGAACTGCAGCGGACCATATCTTGCGAGATCTGCAAAATAACCCTGATATGTGGCTTCAAGTGGTTCACATTCTATCAAATACTCAAAACTTGAATACTAAATTTTATGCTTTGCAGGTCAGTCTCACTCATGATATTTATATAAGTAGTCTTGCATTTGGACTTGTCAAACTCTCCTTGCTTATCTGCCCTTGTTTTCATTTAGGGGAGGGGTCAAACATTGTAAATTCTGAGTTTAATTTTCAACTTATATTACTTTCTATAAGCTATGTCAAAGAATGATTCTATTTTTGTTTCAAAATATGTTCTTTCTAAAAGCCTGCATCTGACACAACTATGGAGCAAGTTGAAAACAGGTTAATGTGTTTGACTGTTTCAGCATCGAAATACAAATGCTGTTAAAGGTGGCGAATATAACTTAAAAGTTCATCTCTTTAAATTCCAAAATCTGTGTTTGGAAGGAGACATCTGTGATTGATCAAGTGTATTATTGGATTTAATAATGACATATATTGTCCTAGCCAAATTATGTTATTGAGTTTTGCGATTGTTTTAGGAAATTGTATCTGTTCATTTTTTATTTTTATTTTTAAAGCAAAACATACATATCCTTCAAGTGATCACGAGCGCTGGTATCTTTTTGGGGTTAGACCTTGCTCTCTACTGTATGTGAATGTTTTGTGCTCATTCCTTTAACATTATTGGAGAAATGATGATAGGGACCACTTGCCGAATTTCCACATACAGGTTCTAGAAGGTGTTGTCAAGTATAGATGGAATGCTTTGCCTGTAGAACAAAGAGACGGCATGAAAAACTATATTTCTGAAGTTATAGTTAAGGTAATTTGATCACGCCATTTTAAGGAAGATTTTGTTGGCATCTGCTTCTAGCAGCATCTCAGTTGAAGAGCGTGACTAATACTTTCACTATTTGATGACCTTAGCTTTCAAGTGACGAGATCTCTTTCCGGCGGGAGAGGCTGTATGTCAACAAACTAAATATTATATTAGTTCAGGTTATACTATCTAATCCTTGAAATTTGAAATCAGGCTCATTAATAATAACTGCAGTTTTACTTTCTATGCACCTGCTTCATGTTTTAAAAGAACCCTGCTGCTTGGGCTTTTCCTTATATGCCATCTTACTTGTGCTTTTGTTTCTTTATGTGCAGATCTTGAAGCATGAGTGGCCAGCCAGGTGGCAAAGATTCATTCCTGACTTGGTTGCAGCAGCAAAAACGAGTGAAACTATTTGTGAGAATTGCATGGCTATATTGAAAGTAAGTTGAATCCCTGCTTTCTTCATAATTTTCTTGATTAAAGTTCATGTACTTGACTTAAGATGTTTCTCAGTTGTTAAGTGAAGAGGTCTTTGACTTCTCGAGGGGTGAAATGACTCAACAGAAGATTAAGGAGTTAAAGCAATCATTAAACAGGTAATCATTAGTATAAGGTTTTCTTAAGGGCCTCGTTTTCGGATAAACAATTGACATTGATGGCTACAGTCTTGGAGCTGTCTAACAACTTGAATTTGTTGTTTGTTTACAGTGAGTTTCAGCTCATTCACGAACTATGCTTGTACGTTTTGTCAGTATCTCAAAGAGCTGAGCTTATCAGGGCTACACTGGCCACATTGCATGCTTTCCTTTCTTGGATTCCTTTGGGCTACATTTTTGAATCACCACTGGTCTGAACCTTTTCCTTTCTTCTTGTTGATTGCTGATGAAAGGAATGGGAATTATGATCTTTTTGATTCCTTAATGTCTTGGACTTTGGTGGTTATTGATTCGTCTGTGCCTAATATTTGAAGTTACTTATGGGGCCCTTTCATTTGATAGCTTGAGACACTCCTCAAATTCTTTCCCGTGCCTGCTTATCGCAACCTCACTCTTCAGTGCCTGTCAGAGGTATATTTTGTCTCTGTCATGTGAATTTTTCCGATCATCATGAGATTGATGTTGCTTGTTGCACTGGTTGATGTTCACAGGTTGCTGCCCTAAGTTTTGGGGATTTTTACAACATGCAGTACATCAAGATGTATAACATATTCATGGTGCAATTGCAGGTATTGAAGATGAATGCAATATTGTGCTCTAGCCATTTGGAGAATGTAGAGATAGATTCGTTAGCTGGCTTCTGTATAAACCTAGGACTTTTTTGCCTTTCTTCATAATCTTCTTAGAATTTAAAGATCAAACTTCAATTTTTACCTCACATTGCATAGGATCCACTAACCACTTATGTATCACTCATTTTTACCACATTATATTTCTGCAACTCATAATGAAACCCAAACAAGCACCTAGTAATAGCAGTTCTCAACTTAGTTGTACTATTTAACGATATATATTTGATATTACTTTGATGAAGTTTATGCTGATTGCTGATATACTTTTCTGTTGCGTTTAAGACTATTCTCCCTCCCAGCACAAACTTCCCAGAGGCTTATGCGAATGGAAATAGTGAGGAACAGGTGATTGTGTAATTTAATGAAATCAATTTTATTTATCAGGGTTTCTATCATTTATAGAGAGTTACATGGCCCTTTTTTGATGTCCAGGCATTTATTCAGAACTTGGCATTGTTTTTCACATCCTTTTACAAGGTAAGCATCCCCCTTGCGTGCCTAATCATGAAGCTAGTGCACAGTCGTGAAGAGTCCAACGGAAATATTTTTTCACATATTGGTTGGGAAAAAATAACAATGACGTCTGCATGAAAATGGATGACCAAGGCATATCATCTTAACATATTAATGTAATGACCATAATGCGCAGGTAAAAGCAATTTTTCATTACTTTTAATGGCCTGTTTGAGATATCTTTTGCTTTTTATAGAAATTTACAAGGTGTCACCTTGGGCAAAGAAGCAACCTCGGACTAACTTCCCCTAAAAGTTCTTATAATTAGGCTTGGTACTTTCAGAAAATTATTCAAACAAATCCAAAAGGAGATTCAATCTCGAAGGCCACTTTTGGCTTTTCAAAATTCATACCAAACAGGCCCTAAATTTGTTTGGATTCCCTCCAGACACGATATTTTAGTCCCTCTTTTGGTGGAAAGCGCATGATTTTTTTTTTTTTGGAAGTTGATTTTAATGGCCGGTATATCTCTCAGTGGCAATGATTGCAGTACACATTGAGTAATTTATATAATTGGTTTTGTTTCTTTAAAATATGGCATTTGGATAAGGTTTTGCACATCCCATACTTGCGAACCAGTTGGCCTGACCCATGTAGAAAACTCTCTTCATTCTGGAATCATACTTGATTCTGCAGTCTTTTGCCGGAGACCGGGAAGTTTGCTTATCTGTGACAATAGACTGTGTTTCTGTATTTGTAACTTTGTAGTAGAATTGCATTTCTTCTGAGGTCCGCTTCCACACTGTTTATATATTATATTCTAGGCATCTGATTGAATCCACATTCTCACTTAAACAGTTAAACTACTTTGTTATTAAACAAATTAGATATTAGTTATGGCCATGTCTTCGCACCTGGATTTGGCTATAATCGTATACTGATGGACATCTTTTTTTCACTGGGTGCAGGCTCATATACGAATATTGGAATCTACACCAGAGAACATAAATGCGCTGTTGATGGGTCTTGAGTATCTCATTAATATCTCGTATGTGGACGATAATGAAGTTTTTAAGGTAAAGTTTCTACATCAGTTATGGAATTTTCACTCTTCAACAAATTCTTTCCAATAATTCTTGATCGATATTGGTCTAACATGATATAGGTCTGCTTGGACTATTGGAACTCATTAGTTTTGGAGCTGTTTGAAGCTCACCATAATCTGGACATTCCTGCATCAACTGTAAATATGATGGGACTGCAGGTATGATTGATCGTTATACCATTTTACCTTTTCTGATGTTTTTAATCTCAATCGTGTCCTTGTCTTGTAAGCTAGACTGGATGGTTATATGAAGTGTACAAGTTTGCAGCTTGCAAAAATACAAAGTATATAATGTTGTTTATTGTCCTATATGATTGGACGGGTTTGAGATAAATGAAATAGGAGGTATGAAAAGTAGATTTCTAACTAGATCTGGATATTGGGGAAGAAGTATCCAATTGCAATCTGATAAGCCCCAATACGGTTCACATATTCTAGAAGATTCAAGAAGGGAGGAAGGCGGGAGAAGGAGAAACAGAATTCTGTTAAGAAGCAAGTGGCAGGGGGAAAAGTAGTTAGGGATTGGCTATAAATAAGAATGAGGAGAGGCATAGTAGGTAGGCAAATAGTGAATGAGGAAAGGAGTCTTGTAATCATTTCCATTTCTATAATTCTTTTCTGTATTTCAATTCAATAGAACATTTCTTTCAAATTCAATCTTCCTTAGAGTTCTATTAATCGGTATCGGAGCACATTCGATCTGATGGCTAAAATACGATTGCTAGAAAAGGTGGTGGAAGATATCAAGACGGAATTGCAACGCCTATTGGGATTGAAAAGATTAGTGGAACAGTTGACCTAGAATCTGACCCATAACCACCATGGAGCTGAGAACGTTCACGAACGCTGAGCAAGGAAAAGTGGCCAGAAGGATCAGGAGAAGCCAGTGTTGGGAGAATGAACATGGAAAATGACGTCAACAAAGGGAGATAATTGGCGACGGGTAAGGAAATCGGAGATGCCTATTTTCAGTGGAGTTAACCTAGATGGGTGGATCTTCTGGGTGGAGAGGTATTTTGAGGTGAATGGGTTGACGGAGAAGGAGAAGATGGGAGCTATCGGAGTGGGTTTGGATGGGGATGGAGACGCACTGTCGTAGCTCCAGTGGGCAGAAGCCAGAGAACCATTTGGAATTGGCATCAATTTCGGCTCAACTCCTACAGTGTTTCTGCCCGACACAAGACGGTAGTTTGTGTGAAAAATTTTTGGCCATCAACCTACGTAGAACGTTGGCAGAATACCGACGTGAATCTGAGATGCTGGCTGCACTGTTGATTGGCATACCGGATGAGATAATGGAGAGCACGTGCTTAAATGGGCTTAAACCGGACATTGAAGTAGAGGTTAGACTATTGGGCCCTTGGGGGTTGGGCCAAATCATGAAGACAGCCCAGAAGGAATGCTGTTCTCCAAAAATTGAAAGAGCCTACAGCCTAAAGACGATATAAAATCCACTCAAACCCAGCTAACATTGATTCGTTCTCAACAAAGATGGTAATAGTGGTTGAGAGAGGGGCGAACCAACGAAGGGAAGCTCTGATCAAGAGGATGTCCGATGCGGAGTGGAAAATGAGAGATAAGGGCTTGTGCTTCCGTTGTGAAGAGTGGTACAAGGTGGGCCACCAATGCAAAAACAGGGAGCTATGGGTACTGGTTCAGTGGGGTGAAGAAGATGAAGCTGCATATGAGTTTCTAGAGGAGGAACCCCTGCTAGAGGTAGGTGAAAAAGTGAAACTATCCCTCAATTCGGTGGTGGGGCTGAGTATGCCCGAAACTATGAAGCTCAAGGGA